CTGTTAACCTTAAAAACAAAAGTTCTCTTACCAGCAAAAATGGGGTTTATTTGGGACAAGTGAGCTATGGCAAAACTATGGGCAAGTCCAATAAACGAAGGAAGGGAACCTTATTTTCTGGAGGAAGAGGAGGTTGTTGGGAGGGGCTGTTTCCAACAAAAGTCCACCGACTGAGTTGCAAGATGGTTGATGTATAGGAAACACAGTGTCCATCTTTCCCTTTTGGGGCCTGGGATCATGACCTAAGCCGAATTGCGGATTCCGGGCTGTCGAGGATGCTTCTGTTCGAGATCTGTAATTGGCAGTTCCTCCTATAATTGGCACTGAATGTTCCAGCTTCCCCGTCAGTCTCCCCTCCTAGCGTCCTACATCCACTGCAGTGAACTTTCCCTTCATTAACTTTCACATTTCGGAAAGATAAGGCCTCGAAAAACTTCTGTCCCAGCACCCTTTCTCAGGAAGCTACTTGATTGAGAGTGTGCCCCACTGAGCAGAGGAAGTCGTGGGATGGAAGAAGCAGGGGATCCTCAGCAGAGAAGATGAAGGGAATGTTGGGGTGCCCGGGCCGGCAGCTCCCGGGGTGAAGGCTGGACCCTGGTGGAGAAAGCAGTATCTATTTTGAATTGAAAGAAGACCTGATACACCAGGATATCTTGGGGGGAGACGTGGACATTCGGCAGAATTTAGAGTTGAATTAGTTATGAGAAATTCAGCAACTTAGAAAAAGGTGACATTAGGTTCAGGGAAGCAAGAAGTAGAGCAAGGGAGGAAAAGTTATCGGGACACATCATGTGGCTCAGAGGGGAACAGCGTTTCCGTGCTGGCACAGTGATGCCAGCCGTGACTGTCGGCCTGAACAAAATGATGGTGTCATGATATCAGAATCAGGAAGTGGCGATAAAAGTGTGTTACTTGGGAATATGGAAGTGAAACCAAAAGAATGAGCTAAAAGGTGCCATGGAAAATGAGGGGAGGGGGACGGCTGTGTTTGTAGGAGGCGTGTAGAAACTATGTCACTCTCTAAATTACATGCACCTATGACTCCGGTAATGAGTCGAAACTAAATTTAAAACACACACTCCAGTGAGCTGCGTGCCCAGTTTTGTCATGTTGGACTGGCAGGATGTGAACGTGGGCCTCAAGACCAGCTCATTTTTGTGCAGCCCTAGAAAGAGTGAATATAAGTTCTCCTTATAATAAGTAAATACATGAATGTGTAGCTGTAAAAAGCTGCTTTTACCTGCACTTAGATATTGGGGTGCCAAGGAAGAGTTTGATCTCAGTCAATAAAAAAATGCCATCTCACTGTTCCCATTTGTACGTATTTATTCCCGGTGAGGTGGAACGTGTTTAAAGTTGTGTTAGTGGTAGCACACAGTTCCCATTTTTAACTAAAGGTAGAAACTTGTAAATAACTCATAAAAATGCTTTTTATATTCACCCCTTTTATATTCACCCCTTGCATTTTGCAGTATTCCTTTCCAGCTTGCGGTTTTCCTTTCAATTTATTTATGGCATTTCTGACATTCACTTTTTGGGGGTCACTTTATGTTGCCATATCTGCTGGTCCTTTCCTTTGTCCTCAAAAGCTGGCCACTTTGCCTTTGCTGTTATGTGCCTAGAGAGCCCGCCTCATCCAGAAGGTGTGATCACCTGCATTCTCTTTGCATATGTCTTCCTTCCTTCCTTCCTTCCTTCCTTCCTTCCTTCCTTCCTTCCTTCCTTCCTTTCTTTCTTTCTTTCTTTCTTTCTTTCTTTCTTTCTTTCTTTCTTTCTCTCTCTCTCTCTTTCTTTTTCACATTTTAAGTCTTTGATCTGGGTGAAACTTATTTTGGCATAAGGAAGGAGGTAGGGGGCGCCTGGGTGGCTCAGTTTGTTAAGCGACTGGCCTTCAGCTCAGGTCATGATCCCGGAGTCCCAGGATTGAGTCCACATGGGGCTGCCTGCTCGGTGGGGAGTCTGCTTCTCCCTTTGACCCTCCCCCCTCTCATGCTCTCTCTCTCTCTCAAATAAAATCTTTAAAAAAATAAATAAAATTTCTTAAGAAAAAGGGGCGCCTGGGTGGCTCAGTCGTTGGGTGTCTGCCTTCGGCTCGGGTCATGATCCCAGGGTCCTGGGATCGAGCCCCGCGTCGGGCTCCCTGCTCAGTGGGGAGCCTGCTTCTCCCTCTCCCACTCCCCCTGCTTGTGTTCCCTCTCTCACTGTGTCTCTCCCTGTAAAATAAATAAAAATAAAATCTTAAAAAAAATAAAAATAAAATAAAAATAAAAAATAAAAGCCTTCACTACTATTTGGAAATACCTTATGTATTTAAAAAAAAATTTCTTAAAAAAAAAAAAGGTGGGAGGTAGGATCTCTTTCTATCCCTAATGGTTAGCCAGGCATTCCAACGCTATCTGTGAATGAGATGAACACATGTGATTTTGCCCTTAATTTCTTGCAACAAGAAACAAGAACGTAAACAGCAACCTTCTATCTCTGTTCTGTGGGAGCTGTGCCCAGGCTCTGCGCCAGACTTGCAGAGCTCTGCTTCTCAGAGCCCTGGTTTTCGCCTCTGAATAAGGGGTTTCCTGCCCTCTCATGGTGGTTGCAGGATGTGTTGGGGTAAGGGATGTGAGCACATGCTCAGGGCAGGCCATGGGTGCCCCGCTGCCTGGACCTGGTTCAGCCATGCCCCAGCGAGCCCCTCCCCATTCCCCTCCTGGCCTCCCCTGTGCGATGGAAGCCTCGCTGCTCTTGGGGTCCCTGGACTCGCCACCCCTCTCACAGCCAGCTCCGGGCTGGGCACTGCTCAGAGGTCCACTGTGGGCCGGCCATGTTCATCTTTTCCCAGTCCCACCACTGTCCAAGGCTGGGAGGAAAGGCAGGGCAGGCAGGGGGCTCGGAAGCAGGGCACTCAGAAGCAGTGGTGGGCACTGGCCGGGCACGGACCCTGGGGCCTCGCCCTCAGCCTGACTGGGGATGGGAACACAGGAGGGCACCGTGAGGTCAGTTCTACTGACTGCCTGGGGGGAGGGGGGGCACATTTAGAGGGATGGTGTACCCAGGCCAGCATTTGGGAGCCTTAGAGCTGCCAGCCAATGTTTGGGGAGGGTCCATGAGAGTGGGAGTAGAGGCCAGAGTCCACTCTTGAGGATGGATGAGTGGAAGGGGGAAGGGAGTGGTCTCCCGGGCAGGCGGCTGCAGGCCCGGTGAGACTTTCCCAGAACCAGGGAGAGGCCCAGCCGGGCAGGAAGTTCGGGGAGCCCGGCGGACAACTCTCTCCTTCACTCCTGCTGAGGCAGGGCCCCCGTATTCCTCCCACGTCTGGGTGAGGAAGGTTTCACGGTCCCACCTCATCCCGGTGTCCAGCGCTGGCAGGGGGAGTGCTGGCTGTCCCCTGACCCTGGGCGGGCTGATAGCTGGGGCCCCTCGGGGGCTCCGGGAGACCTTCCCGTCCCGAGGGCCACAGCTTCCCCTCCCCAAGCCCCGTGGGCTTCCCCTGCCAGACCCCGGGGCCTTCCTGGAGGTCACATGGGCTGCAGGCTGTAGGAGCTTCAGAGTGGGGGCTTGAAGAGGGGGATGGAGAAGGCTCCCTGTGTACAAACACCCGCCTCCTCCGCACCACGAAGGCCGGAAGTGGGACCCAGAATAGAAGAACCCAAGTTCCAAATTGGGCTCCGGGGGCTGAGAGCAGAGGTGGCTGTATCTAAAAATAGAAATAGGAGTGTGTGCGTGGGCCCTACGTCCTCCACCCATGGGGTTGGTGTCTTAAAATAGAACTTCCTAGTGGGGCCAGCTTCACACTGTTATTCTATGTGGAAAATTCACCCAAACCAACCCCTCAGCAGGCAGAGACAGTGGCCGGCCTGGGCTTGGGGGAGGCTGCTGGGGGCTGGCTGGCAGGGTGCAGCCCACTCAGGAAGGGGAGGTGGATGGGCAGGGAGGGCTCACAGCCCCACGACTCCCTTTTCCTTCTGCTCTCTGGGTCTCCACACTGAATACGCCCCCGCCAGGGGCGCCCTCCCAGGCCAGCAGGGCTGCTCGGTTCGGCCGTCCCCAGAAAGGCTCTCAGGCTGACCGAGAAGGGGGCACACAGGGACCCATACACCCAAGCCAGGCCTGGACCAGGCATGAGGGGCATGTGGCAAGCCCAAAGCAGGGGCTGCCCTCCAGGTGCTCACGGTGGGCGGCCCACCCAGGAGCCCACAGACGGGGCCAGCCATGGAGGGCAGCCTCTGGTCAGGGCCCTGTGCTGGACGATGCTGGGGATGCAGACCTGGCCGACAAGCCTCGGTCCCCAGGGTCCCTGCTTGGTGGGGGTGCTAGCAAGGAAGCCCAGCGAGTTCTGTGCCATGTGGTAGGGGGGCTGGGGTGTAGGTGGGCATCTGGGCAGCAATGCTAGCAATTGGGAGGCCTCCTGGGGCAGGGAGAGTGAGCTGGTTCTCTCAGGAGGGCTGCAAGAGGGTGAGGAGGCAGTGCAGATACCAGCTGGAGGGGCTCTGGCTTGGAGTCTGGATGAGACCCCCCATCTCTGGCCCAGCACACAGGCCTCCCGTAAGCCTCCGCTGCCTCCCCTCTGGCCCCAGCTCCCACTCTACTGCTCTCCCCCCGCTTCCAGCAAAAGAAAAATCATCCCCACCTCCCACCCAGGGCAAGGCAGTGTGAGGAGCACTGGTGGCCGGGCCTGAGGTTGGGAAGCGGCCTGCGGCAAGAGGCGGACAGCTCCTGCCCAGCCTGTCCCCCTCGCCAGGGCACCTACTGTGAGTGGGTCCCTGGAAGAGGTGTCTCCAGAGCCCGGCAGCCAGCAGCCCTCCCAGCGGCACCCCTCCCGGCATCACCCCCTCCCAGAGTCACCCCCTCCCGGCGTCACCCACTTCCGGCGCCACCCCTCCCGGCATCACCCCTCCCAGAGTCACCCCCTCTCCCTCACCAGCTAGGCTGTGTGGCCAGGGGCACCGCCCAGGGTGGCTCGAAATGCCCCCCACAACACACACACAGGTGGCTAGGGGAACGGGGTGGGCACTTGCTCCTCACTGTTCCCAACTGGGAGGCAAGCTGCCAGAGGGTGCAGGGGTGCAGCCAGTGGCCCTGGCCCAGCCCAGGAGCAAGCCTGCCAGGGTGTTCCGAGCCTCCTTTGTTCCTCCCTACAGCAAGCAAGCTGGTGAGGTGATACTTGGTACGACCATAGGGCCCCTCCTGGGGCTGCACCGGGTGAGGACGCTGATGCTTCCAGGGTCCTCTGGATACGGGCACCCCGATGGGCAGTGCTGCCTACATGGGCCCCTTCCTGCTGCCCCTTGAGGTCTTTGTCCATCCATCAACCACTTCTTGTGCCAGGAAGGCACCGAGGCCCTGGGGAAGCAGCGGTTGGTCAAGCGAGCATGGTCCCGACCTTGTAAGATGACACCCCAGAGGGAGCCAGCCATAATCAATACAAATATACAGGGGTTTAGGGGAAGGGGAAAGAAAAATATATATATATACATAAGGGTTCAGAGGAGGACGGGGAAGGAGGGAGCATGTGCAGCTTTAATAAGAGAAATGAGGAGAGAACTGTCTAAGAAAGTGGGACTAAGAGACCGAGGGAAGTAAGGAGGTGAGCCACACAGAAATCTGGGGGAAGCATCGTCTAGGGGGGAACAGCAAGTGCAAAGACCCTGGGGTGGGAATGTGCCTGGTGTGCTGGAGGCGCAACCCTCCCTCCCGGCCTCCCTCCCCAGCAGCAGGAAGGCTGGTGTGGCCCCTGGGCGTGGGGTGGGTACTGGGAAGAGAGAAGCTCAGAGAGAGAACAGAGGGTTGTACCGGCAGGGCCCACAGGGAGAACTCAGGCATTTGCTCTGGGAGGTTCCAGAGTGGAGAGGTAACATGGTCTACCTGGCATTGTGACTGAATCCCTCTGGTGTGACATTGGATACCGCGGGGCAAGGGCAGGGACAGGATGGTACGGTGAGGGTCTGCGAGGGGGCAGCGTTCTCGGCAGTGTAAGCATAGAGTTGGAGGAGAGGCCTGAAGAACAAGGCTGCGGCTGCGGAGGGCAGAGGAAATGAGGGCCTTGCTTTTGGATGTGTTAAACCTGAGATGCTTAGAGATACCCAGGCGGAGATGGTGAGTGGGCCAGGGACCATGAGCCTTGGGAGTCTGTGCTAAGCCTGGCGATCAGCACAGAGCCTGGCACCAGTGACGTGACTTTGGGCATGGTCAGGGCTCAGGCAGCTCCAAGGCTTTAGGGGAGGGGATGGCCCCTGGGCCAGCAGCCGATCTTACCCCCCCTTAATCTTATCAAGGTCCTGCCCCACCCCCACCCCCACCCCCAGACTACAGCTGCCTCTAGATGTGCTGGGCCCTGGCACGGCACACCAAACCAGCAGCCGCGGCTACCCTTGCGATGGGTGCGGCAGAGGGACTAGCCACACTCCTGTGAGTGTGGCTCAGGTGTCACTTGTGTGCCTTTAACATGGTCGTGCTCTGGGGAGGCCTGCCCCCACTCATCTTCCCTGGCCGGCCAGAGCTCATCAACTCATCTCTGCTCACCTGCGGGGCGGGGCCGGCCTGCACACCCTCCCCACCCGGCGAGACCTGCTCCTCACCCGTGCCCGCCTGCCTGCCGGCTCCTGTGGGGGGACCCCTGGGTGCCCAGCTCCCCTGCCTCCCGCCTCCCGTATTCCCTGGCTGGACAGGCTGCTTGAGCTGCCCCGAGGGCCCAGCCAGGATGTCCCCCAACCCCCCGGCCCCCAGACTTGGAGTTACACTGGTGAGGAAGGGGCAGGAGCAACGTGAGTTTGCGATTCTCTCCAAGCGGGAGGCTGCACACGGTTCCCGTTCGGCCGAGACGCCCTGCACACAGAGGCAGATTTGCATCTGCAGGTGATATTTCTCTGGGGCACGTGGTATGTCCAGACCATCTACAATGACCCTGACGATGGGGCCTCTGCCATTCGTCACCCTGGAATGCGGCATCTGAAACCAGCCCCCATCCAACCTGCCCTGCTGTCATGCTCTGGCTGGAGGCACCCATGCCTAGCTTTTTCCCTGCTCTGTTCCCAGTCTATCCCCCTCCCCAGCCACCCACTCCAGGAGGAGGTCACTCACAGTTGACACGATGGTGTCTGCTCTTTCCCGTGAGCTGCAAGAGCGGGGCTTTCCCTGCGTCACTGTGGGGTCGCCCGGGGCCCAGCAGAGGGCTGGCACTCGGTCTGCTGAGCCATCAGAAAACACATCTGTCCAGCCACAAGGTGGTGAACCCCCTTGTCAGGAGCTCCAACCCGGCTGAGCCAGCACTGGGCCTCCTCCACCGGGAGCCCTGTTCCAAGAGTGAGGTGACCGGGTGCTAATGTTGGCTGACCCGGCCACTTCCACACTTCTGTGGGCTTGGAGGGGCAGAATTCCAGTCTCTGGGGTGAAGGGGAGCCCTGAGAGCCAGACTCAGCTGTGGGTGGGTGGAGTCACAGATGGGAGGCCGGGATGAGGCCGAAATTTTGCCAACTCACCAGCAGACGGCCCCACCCTTATTTTGCAGATAGAGAAACTGAGGCCCTGTTGGCTAAAGGCTTTCCCATAGGCTTACCTGCCTCTGGCCACCCCTTCCCTAACTTTGCCCTTCCCCTCCAGTGGTTCTGTCTTCATCCTGGTTTCCTCCTGGTGGACATGGGCCTCTCCCCCATGCCTGGGTTCAGGGCCTGGCCACTCGGTTTTCTGGCCTCTCCCACTGCCCCCACACTCCTGGGTAACTTCTCTGACCCCGGGTGTGTCTTGCCAGCGGGTATGTGAGCTGTTGCAGCCAGGCCTCCCCTTTCTGCAGCCCGGGACCCATTGCCAGGCAGCACTGGGACAGGGGGGCGGTGATGTGCTCTCTGTCCAGCTGCAACTGGGCACCTCCTTTGCTGGCCACGTCTCCTTAGGGCCCTCAGGGACCTCAGCCTCAGCCTGACCTAAACCAAGCCCCTGGATGCCCCCATCCCTGCCTCGTTCAGAGCAGCCAGTCCAGCCATTTCCCCCTGCTGGACTCCGGCCCCTCATGCCCAGTACAAGAGAGAGGCAGACCTTAGCCTCCCACACAGGTGAGGCCCAGCCTCTGCTGGGCTGGCCTTCTGCTCTCCCTGATGTGGTTTTGGAATATAGGTGAGGTTTGGTGGGGTGAGGTCCAGAGCCGACGGCCAAGAAAGAATTCTTGAGACGTCTTTGGTGCAAAATGGTGGTTTTGTTAAAGCGGGGACAGGACCCCTGGGCGGAGAGAGCAGCTGCCCGGGGTCTTGAGGAGTGGTGATTATATACTCAGGAGTTGGGGGAAGTAAGGAAAAGGGAGGTTTCAAAAGAATTCTCTTTTTTTTTTAAGAAGCTGGTTTTATTTTTTTATTTTTTTAAAGATTTCATTTATTTATTTGACACAGAGAGACACAGTGAGAGAGGGAACACAAGCAGCGGGAGAGAGAGAGAAGCAGGCTTCCCGCGGAGCAGGGAGCCCGACGTGGGGCTCGATCCCAGGACCCCGGGATCATGACCTGAGCCGAAGGCAGACGCTCAACGGCTGAGCCACCCAGGTGCCCCTCAAAAGAATTTTCATATGCTAAAGAGGACCGACCTATAAAATACCTACAAGATACTGACCGGAGGCTTTGCCATTGTCAAGTTGAGGTTGTTTCCCCCTCTATCGAGGTATTAACATTAAGATATTTGGGAGATCTCTGAAAGAACACAAGTCCCACCCAGCAGCGGGGGGGGGGTGGGGGGGCGGGGTGCAGGGAGGTTGCAGGGTGTCAGCTCAGCTTATGCTTTGTCTTCAGCCCGCCTTCTGTCCCTCATCATTCCTGCCAGCCAACCTCTTCAGGCCCCAGCCAGATTGTCCTTCCGCTGCTCACAGCTTCCTGGGCTCTGGGGCCAGGATCCAGCCCCCACTCCTCATAGGGATGAACCTTGCCTCCTGCCCCTCATGCCCTAAGCAGTGGGGCCCCTTCCCCAGAAGCTTCCACTCACCGACAAGCTTGAAGGCCTTGCTCCCTCTCCCTAGAACACCTTCGCTCTCTCTCTACAGCTCACATTGCCTACTTGGCCCTTATGGTTCGGGGTGGGGGTGGGGGGAAACTATTTGCTCCCTGAAAGGCCCTTCCCCTATGAGACCTGCCAAGCCTCCTTCCTCCACTAAGCCCCTGCCCCTTAAGCAGGGTTATCTGGGTCTAAAACTGGCCTGTAAAACCCCCTCCCTTCCTCAGGCATGGGGAAGGGCCTTGTTGGTTGGGGGCTTCCCAGGAGGCAAAGTGAAAGTACCCGGTTTCCTGGGCCTCACAGTGTTGCAGCCAGACCCCTGGGCCATGGGAGTCCAGACCTGCTCAGAGGGCTGTGTCTCAGTTTGGAAGCAGCTGTAAGTGCCCTGAGGCTCTTTCCTGACAAGGGCGAGGTTCCAAGGGTTCAGTTCCCAGCAAGCCCTCCTCTGCCAGGAAGGGTTCATTCCTTGCCCCTGCCCCGCACCCCCTGATCAGAATCAGACCCATGCGTCAGGGGTGGCGTGAGCGCACAGCACCTCCTACTACAGGATCAAGATCTCGGGGCTGGGGGGCGTAGCGCCACCTCCAGTAGGGCCACAGGTGTCGCGGGACGCTCTGGCCCAACGAACAGAAACGCTGCTCATTCGTCCACTCGCCTGCATTTATTGAGCACCTACTGTATGCTGTGCCCGGGCGTTCGGGGTGTCCACGCCCGAAGCGGCCGCCTGTCTTCTCCTCCTCGGGAGTGCGGGGTGGGGAGAGAATGGGGCTCCTCGCCCCCGGAGGTCCCGAGTCCCGCCCCCGCTCCGCAGCAAGCCGCGTTGCCGGCAGATGGGGGCGTGGCCCAGAGCCTGGGGAGGCGTGGCCAGGGTGGAGGGGAGGGGCGTGGCCAGGGTGGAGGGAAGGGGCGGGGCCAGGCCGACGGGGCGGACCCGGGCGGGCCAGAGCAGCCTGGCTGCGGGCCCCGCAGGCGGGAACGCCTGGCGGCGGAGCCGGGAGCCGCCGTCGGGACCGGGGGCTCGCGGGCCGAAAGCGGAGCCTCGCGGGTAAGGCACGGGCGGGGCGCGATCGCGTCCCCCGGACTGGCTGGGGTCCCGGGGGCCAGGGTTCCGGGGGCTGCGGGTTCCGGGGCGCGCTCGGTGTACCCCGGAGGCCTAGGGGTGGAGGGCGGTTGTGTCGCGTCTGTCCCGCGTCCCCCTCGTCTTTCGCCCCCCCCCCCCCCCCCCCCCCCCCCCGCCCCCGGGGCCTGGGGGCGGCGAGCACCCCCCCCCCCCCCCCGCCGTGCGACCCACTGGACCGGGCCTCTGAGGGCTCAGAGGGGGAATTTCCCCTCACCTCCTCCTGGTAATCCAAACTTTCCTTCCCTCAGCCCTCTCAACAAAGGTAGGAGGAAAACTGCCTATTGGAGCTGATTCACACTGAAGTGTGAGTGACTGATAGCCCCGTGGCCCTGGGGAATCTGCGAGTCTTACTTAGGGGAACAGTGAGTGTCAGAGAGGTGGGCAGAGTGGATGGGAGAATTCGGGGTTGGGGACAGCCTCTGGTATGTGGGCCGGTCCCTCCCAGCAGCCCAGCTCTTTCCTGCTGCTCCGGGCCTTGGCTTCCCTTGGTGAGTGGTACTGACAGTGTGTTTCCTCTGAGAGTGCTGAGGGACAGCGTCCTGCTGCGATTTGTCAGCCTGGAGCCTGCCCTCTCTGCCACCCTCTGTGGCCATGAGTGCCTCACATCCTCTCTGTGCCTTCATTTGTTCATCTGCCGAGGCTGGTGATGTCTGTGCCTGTGGCCGGATGGCCATACTAAGTAAATGTCCCTCCAGCCTGGCCCTGGCCCGGGATGAGGGCTCTCCGTTCGGGTGCCCGCGTGCATGACACACACGCGATCTTGCTTAGGTGGTGTGTGGCCTGTCCCCGGCACAAAGGGGTCTCCGGAGATGTTCCTTGCAATGATGGCGATGATGATGAAACATGCAGGACTTTTTCTCGATGGTCGGAGGTCCAAGGGGACATGGCAAATCCTGGCGTGGGAGCGGGATTCCCGGTTCGTGTCCAGCTCGGCACTGACGCTGTGTGACCCTGGGTCAGCCCCCTGTCCTCTCTGGGTCAGGCTCTTCAAAAGCAGAGGAGGGGACTGGCTCCATCTCCTGGAATCCCCTGCCACTGTGTCCTTTACCCAGGACACCCACACAGGGGGCCCCTGGGAGCCGGGGCTCCACTCCTGGTGGGCCAGGGGCCAGGATGGTGGCTCCAAGGGGTAAAGACTGTCGAACTCCCCTTTCCTACCCTTACCGCCCCTGTAACTTGGCTCTGTGTGCCATCCTGGAGCACACCTGTGCAGAGGGAGCAGGCAGACAGGTAGACAGGTGGTCCAGGCCAGTCCCTGTCAGCTTTAAGAGAAAAGGAGTGATGACAGGGTCTTGGCCGGTTCAGGGAGTCCCTCAGGCCTGCAGAGTCAGGGAAGAGCCCATCAGGGAGGCTGGCCTGGGAGAACAGAAGGCGAGTGGGTGGGATGCAAACCTGCTTTGGCCTTTCTTGTTCACATGGACAGAGGGAAGCAAGGTGCTTGAGTTAGCCTCTGCCATCCGTCCCTTGACAGGGATGCAGGCACGCGTGCAGCCCTGCAGATGGGAGGCCTGAGGGAACAGAGGGACAATGTGGCCCAGCTTGGTCACAGACGGGCTGGGTCCTGGGTTTGAACTTGGCCACCCCCATTTACCAGCTGTATGATCTTGGCCAGGAGGTCTCGCGCTGCTGAGCCTGGTTTCCTTATCTGAGCCTCTACCTCACGGGGGCGGGGTGGGGGGGAGGGGATAAAGGATGAACATCCGAGGGGCTGGTGACGGCTGGGCCACCTCTGCTTGGGAGTAGGGGTGGGGCCAGGCATGGAGAGGCCTGGGGCAAAGGGCAGGCTCCTAGTCCCCGCCTGCCCATTTGGGTCTTGAAGCAAAGGGCTGAGTCTTATCAGGAGTGGCCAGGATTGGGGACCCACGTGGGTCCTCCCGGAATTCTGTCCTGAAAACTCTGTGGTGAGATGCCGAGGCTCGGTGACCTAAGTTAAGTCCCAGGCATAGGCGTATGTGGTCCTTAAATAACCCCCGGTAGTGGGGCCTGCGTGGGCAGCCTGGCTGGGAGAGGTGGGCTGCAGGTGGCCTGGGGAGGCAGGGTTTGCAGTCAGGAGGAAGGCTGCTCTTTGAGCCGTGGTGACGGCCATGGAGACAGGGACAGACTGAGCCAAGGGCTGGCAGTGGGGAGGGTGGTAGACCAGTTTGACCAGAGTGGCCTGGTGTGCACCAGGTAAGGTGAGGACATGGATGGGACAATGGGGGCAATGGGCGACAGGGCAGAGGGGCCCAGGAGGCAGGGGCAGGGGCTCTCAGAATGCCGAAGTCCTCCCCCAGTGTTGGTGG